TCAGGGGTGGGGACCAGGTGTGGAGGACAATAGGTCCCTCCCCTCATTATCATTTATGCCCCCCCCCACTGCTCAGGGTTGGGGGCCAGGGGGGAGGACAATAGGTTCCCCCCATCAATGTCCTTAGGGCCCCCACCCGTTGCCTCAGGGGTCGAGGTGGTACTAGGTACTAGGGTTTTTTTTACTGCTCACTGTTTATTAGACATTAGGCAAAATTTACTAACAGTGATGTCCTAAACGGTTCGCCGAACGGTTTGCCACGGACGGCGAACATATGCGCTGTTCGGTCCGCCCCCTATGTCATCATTGAGTAAACTTTGACCCTGTACCTCACAGTCAGCAGACACATTCCAGCCAATCAGCAGCAGACCCTCCCTCCCAGGCCCTCCCACCTCCTGGACAGCATCCATTTTACATTCATTGTGAAGCTGCATTCTTATTGAGATGTCTAGGAGGTGGGAGGGTCTGGGAGGGAGGGTCTGCTGCTGATTGGCTGGAATGTGTCTGCTGACTGTGAGGTACAGGGTCAAAGTTTACTCAATGATGACGAATAGGGGGCGGACCGAACAGCGCATATGTTCGCCATCTGTGGCGAACCGTTCGGGACATCACTATTTACTAATACTAAGTAATCTTTACTTACTATTAGTAAATGTGGCTGAAAGACCAATTTAGGTCTTTCAGCCTATTGGTAGATAGCTCCCTAATTCCGTGGGATGCAGCCGCGGCATGAATCAGATCGGAGTTTCATTCATTCAAATGAAATTCTGATCAGAACAAAGTCCCCAATTGCGTCCTAACACGAATGGAGAAACTGTTCTCATTCTGTTAGGATGCAATTCGGTAGTTTTGCCAGCGCCCTGTCTATTGTGGGAAAATTTCTCTCACCACCGGAAATGAAGCACACTTTGCTCCTCCGCTGGTGAGATATGGTCAGACGTAAAAAACCTCCATAAGACAAGTAGTCTCTACTTTGTCTTATGTTTTAAAGAAAACTAGAGCAGACAGGAAGAAATGAAGAACAGATAGTGACAGAGGGAGATAAAAGGAATCGATTGGGGAAAGGTAAGTTCGGAATGACAGTGCCGCTTTAAGCTGACACTGTCCACTTAGCCATCCCTTGAGTTGAAAGAGATGAAAAGGATGTACTTTTTTTTTTTTTTATGTATTTATTAGTAAAGGCAGAAACAGTTGATTGCCAATAGACACAAACTTTGTCAAACTCAAAAAATAAAAAATTACTAAATGATCAGAAATATACAGAGCTCATTCAAAGGAAATACAATAAACAGTAAACCCTTAACAATTGCATATATTTGAAGAAAACCCCTGTAAACAATGTTGACTATTGTGGAGGACATCAATCTACAAATTAATAAGCAAAACAGTCCCTTATATAAGGATGAAGTTAGAACAGGGAGAGGTGAAAAAGTAAAAAGGAGTCAAGGAAAAAAGATGGAGAAAAGTAAAATGGATGGGATAGGTTGTTATGTTTTTTAAATAATATTTAGTTGGATTTCTCATAGACTTGGTAATTTAAGTTTACGTTAAATTAAAGGTATACCAAAGGCACACAGACTACTTCATCTCAATGAAGTAGTCTGGGCGCCACATGCCTGTCTGTTTGACACTGTAAATGAAAACAACTGTAGGAATGGCAATGTTTACATTACAGGATTAACATGCCTCTAGTGGCTATTTTACTTAAAGTCACTAGTGGCACTTCTGCTCTTATAGTAGAATTAAAACAGGCTCTTCAATGCTCTTAAATAGATCATTTGATTGGCGCAGTGCAATGTTTTTTTCGTGAATATGCACTATGAGGAAACATTGGTTTAGCTGAAATCATCTAAACCAGGGGTCCTCAAACACCGGCCCCCAGATGTTGCTGAACTACAACTCCCATGATTCTTTGAATTACATAGATAGCCAGAGAATCATGGGAGTTGTAGTTCAGCAACATCTGGGGGGGCGGAGTTTGAGGACCCCTGATCTAAACTGATGAAGTTAGCTAAAGTGGCAGAATGCAATAGTGGAGACCGGCAAGGTGAGGGCTGAATGGTAAGTAATACTCACCTTTCAATCCCTCACACGGTGTGGCAGATTTTAAATAGTTGTCTGAGTGGCACAGTGTTAGGAATACATATTTGTATTCCTCACTATAGTGTTCCTTTAAATTTTAAAAACTAAAAATGCTGTTTACACCCAGTTCTACTGGATATTTAAGATAGCCCCACAAAACTAACCCATCATTATACACACACACACACACACATGTTAACGTAGTTAAAGGAACACTATAGTCACCTAAATTACTTTAGTTAAATAGAGCAGTTTTAGTGTATAGATCATTCCCCTGCAATTTCACTGCTCAATTCACTGCAATTTAGGAGTTAAATCACTTTGTTTCTGTTTATGCAGCTCTAGCCACACCTCCCCTGGCTATGATTGACAGAGCCTGCATGAAAAAAAAACTGGTTTCACTTTCAAACAGATGTAATTTACCTTAAATAATTGTATCTCAATCTCTAAATTGAACTTTAATCACATACAGGAGGCTCTTGCAGGGTCTAGCAAGCTATTAACATAGCAGGGGATAAGAAAATCTTAATTAAACAGAACTTATCAATAAAGAAAGCCTAAATAGGGCTCTCTTCACAGGAAGTGTTTATGGAAGGCTGTGCAAGTCACATGCAGGGAGGTGTGACCAGGGTTCATAAACAAAGGGATTTAACTCCTAAATGGCAGAGGATTGAGCAGTGAGGCTGCAGGGGCATGTTCTACACACCAAAACTGCTTCATTAAGCTAAAGTTGTTCAGGTGACTATAGTGTCCCTTTAATAAATGTCAAAAAAGTCAGAACGGTCCTTTAACAATTGGAACACTTGAACCTAGAAAGCCACTGGAAATTGTAATTAGTCAGAAAATAGAAACAAATTAAATGGGAAAAGACTTGCGTTGTCAAGTGTTGGTTGAAGAAATTTGAGCAGGTGTTGCATGACGATATGGGATGTGCTCATACAAAGCTTCAAAAACAAAATGAGCAGCAGAGAGACAGACTCCTGTGTAATCTAAACAGTCCACAGACATGAATACCAACTGTAATTTGTGTTGAATATTCTGCAAATAGTTTCAATATTAGGAACATTAATTGTGTTATGCTTTATGGTTTGACCTATGCCTATCAAATCTGGTTAGTATTTTATTCAAATTAGAGACAATTACTGTAAGCCTTGCACAAATATGTCACTTTATCACAATTTGTGGCAAATTCTAAGGGAAAGAAAACCTTTAATTCCCATTATGTCTGTCACACCACTTGTTATTGACATTATGTCAATATATTTATTAAGCCTAGTTATTGTAGACATATTTGTAGTAGTGAATTGCAGTTATTCACATATTGATTACACAAAAATAATGGTTTAGCTGTTTTAGAACTTAGCATCTACTGTATTTGATAAAGATCTGATATTTAATTTTATTTTTCAAGTCTATACACACTGCATGGTGAATGATTTAAGTCATGTGCTGATTGCATTGCTCTGGAAAAATGGGACACTGATGCCAAGCAACAAATGTTCTCACAAATTTCTCAGCAGGCAATGTCTACAAGAAAAAACATATCAAATATAGTTCTTGTTATTCAAAAGAAAAATGCTAGATCGGTACTTAAGTAGTTAAAACAATACCTACATGAAACAAGCATCTGGAATTTGCTAGTTGCTGGAAAAAGTATATCTAAAAAACGATTTGAGACCGAGTCACAAAAACGATATGTATTTTTAAAATTTACCTCTTTATTAGAAAGGTTTGCAGACTGACTTCTGATTATAACACCACTTTACATGTATGTTTTTTTTCTGGTGTAATTGTAGAGTTTGCACAACTCTAGGAATAAACATTTGAAGGTAACAAGTTACAGTTGCAAACAGCAAAACATCTATACTATTTACAGTCATAACACCACCAACCATGAAAACAATTTTAACATCCAAGGTTCACAGGAGTGAATCAGGGAATGCAATATAAATGGTTGGCGTTGTATGCCAACCAGTAACAGGGTACCTAATGAGTTTATATTGGCAGATTTGGATAAAAACATTGCCATTTGCAGGCTGTGATTATGTGACACGATTCACGTAGGGAGGGGAGGTGCTGGAGACTGGCGGGTCGATGAGAGGAGATAGTTGCCGCAAGGAGAGAGGCTGCACGCCATCCGATAAGTAATCGCAGCTGGAAGTCTCCTGTATGCTGTGCGGGACTGATTAAGGTTGGATTAAGGCTGGATTCTCTGGCTGGATTTCCTCGGTAAACCCGTTGTTCAGACTTTTTCTATCCGCTTCTGCCTGGTTTGTTGTGGGGACACTGGGAGCATGAGAGTGCCGGAAGCTGTCGGAGTGGTGGAGGAAGGAGAAGGGTTTTAATGAGGTGAGGAGTAATTTATGCCTCTGGGAGAAACGGATGCTATGTATGTTTTCCCGCATGAAATAAGAAAGAAGGGATATAAGGAGTATTAACTGCCATCAAGTTTAATTACTGAACATTTGTAAAGCATAAGGAAAGAGAGTAAGAGAGTATGAAAGGAATAAGGAAAAGGAGGAGTAGGTTGCTCTTTTTATTAGTAACCTTTTTTGTATCATCTCTTCCTGCCTCCTTGAAGTTTTACATAAAAAGATTGGTTTAAAAGTTCTTGGTAGACCCCCCTGTGGGCCCTTAGACTCTCTGATTACTCTGAATATTCAAGAACTTGAGGAGATAAGGAGTAAGATTTATACAGTATTGTGAAGTGAAAGTGTTGTAAACTTACTAAGCATACTAAGCACTGAGACATGACGTCTAGAAAAAAGGAAGATAATAAAGTGCTTTCTAAAATGGATAAAAAAGGTCAGAAATCAGAGAAACGTCTTTCCGCCTTTTTTGTACCTCAGGAAGGCCAAGAGGTTTTGGAACACTCCATTTTAGACCCCACTCAAGTTGGGGAAAACTCCTCACCCTTAATGATTAAAGAAAGAGAAATGGTAACACCCTCCTTCCTAAAGGCATGCATGGAAGATCTTTCTATGGATATTAAATTTGATTTGTTGGAAAAATTTCTAGATATCAAGAAGGACTTATCCTCTCTGGCGGGGAGATTGCAGAGAATAGAGGATAGACAGGAAAATGTGGATCAACAGCTACAAGACCTGAAGGAAGCACAGACTAAGCTGACAGAAAAATATGTTATACTGGAAGATAAACTGTGTGATCTGGAAGACAGATCTAGACGTTTGAATTTAAGATTTAGAAATATACCAGAGGATATTACAGAGGATAAACTTCAGGATTATTTAAAGGAGTTTTTTGGCTGCATGGGATTATCCTCTGAGCAATACGATAACAAATTGTCTCGGTTTCATCGCCTTTTTCAAAAGAAGCAAGACCAAAAATTTCCGAGAGATGTCATTGCATCTTTTTTCTCATTTGACTTTAAACGCAAGGTGTATCAGACGGCAAGGAACATCGTCATCGAGCAAGAAAAATTTAAGGCAATAAAAGTATTAACGGATGTCTCTTTTCTTACACGACAACGAAGAAATCTATTTTCGCTAGTGTTTCCGTATTTAGAGAAATACAATATTAAATTTAAATGGAACCAACAATCAGCTCTACAAATTTACTATAGGGACATCTGGAAGACCTTTTCAACATTAGAACAAGTCCTTGTCTGGCTAAAAGACAATAAGTTATAGCTTTGCAGCGTTTTAGAGTTATGGGGGAAGGGGATAATAATATTCTTTTTTTTTTTATCTCTTTACTATAGTACTTAAATCTGACATACTTGCATTTAGAAGTATATACGTGACGCATATTCTTGATAAAAGTAAACACAAATGAAAATTGTAATTTTTGGCAAATGATCTGACAGCATTTCACATAAGGGATGACATTATATATATATATATATATATATATATATAAAACAAGAGGGGGTTGGCTGCACTCACCTTAACATGCATAAATGGGGGTGCTGCTGGGGGGGGGGGTTTGTGTATTATATATATATATATATATTGTATGTCAGGCATTGTATATTAAGCCTAAGTATCAGTACTTAGAAGTATATTCATATGGCACTTTGATAATGATGAAGCCAATGCACTAAATAACGGTCTTATACTTGAGTAGCTACAAGATTCATTTTATTTTAAATTCTCTAATGTATTTTGGGTATGCTATATTACTCACTGCACTCAGAAGTATATTTAAGAGACATTGTTACTAATGAAACTAAAATTTAAATATGAGAATTACTGTTACTTTGGTAATTGTGGGGCACTAAGGGGTTGTAAGTTTAGTTTACAAGGTTTTTTTTTATTTTTTATTTTTTTTTCTGAAAGAGATGGTTATAACTTTTCGGTGAGATCCCCTAATGCATTTTGGGTATGCTATATTACTCACTGCACTCAGAAGTATGTTTAAGAGATATCGTTACTAATTAAATTAAAATTTAAATATGAGAATCACTGTTACTTTGATAATTGTGGTGCACCAAGGGGTTGTAAGTTCAGTTTATAAGGTTTTTTGTTTTTTTTCCCAAAAGAGATGGGTATAATTTTTTGGTGAAAATCCCTAACGCATTTTGGGTATGCTATATTACTCGCTGCACTTATTAGTATATTTGAGAGATATCGTTACTAATGAAACTAAAATCTAAATATGAGAATCACTGTTACTTTGGTAATTGTGGTGCACTAAGGGGTTGTAAGTTTACTTTATAAGGTTTTTTTTTTTTTTTTTTGCTGCTTTCCTCCCATGGACCACTCTAGTCTTCTTAATCCTATCTGTGGGTCTCCAAATGGGTACCCAGTGCTTGGCTCAGTTTTTCTGTCCCAAGCTTAAGATTGATATGATTGCCATGTTGTCTGCTTTTGTGTTATGTTTATGTAATTATTTGTCATGTATTTGGATTGTTTGGTCAGAGATCCCTAAAATAGAAACTAGATACCAATATGGTTAGAATGCTTTCCGTAAATGTCCAGGGCCTCAATTCAGTTATGAAAAGAGGTTTTTTATATGAAACTTTAATCAGACAAAAAATTCAGGTGGCTTTCATTCAGGAAACACATTGGATTAGGGGGGCAAAGGCCCTGTGATATTATAAAAAATACCCTTTAATAAACTCTGCTTCTCTTGAAGGGAAAAAAAAGGTGGGGTGTCAATTTTATTTGCCAAAGACACTAAATTTGACTGCACATATAGCTTATTAGATCCTCAAGGAAGATTTATATTATTAGTCGGAAGTTTGAACAAAATAGATTATACACTGGTTAATGTCTATCTACCTAATAAAGATCCGATAAAAACTCTTGTGAAAATTTTTAATCTGGTTGAACAAGTTAAAAAGGGAAGATTAACAATTGCGGGGGATTTTAATTGTATTTTAGACACCCAAATGGATAAGCAATTAGCAAAGCATCAACAAATAGACAAAGACTTAAAGAAACAGGCAGCAGCCTTCAATAGAGCTATAAAAAAGTCAGAGCTTTATGACTGCTGGAGACTTTTTCATCCCAACGACAAGGATTACACACACAGATCAATCCCCCATAACTCCTCAGCCAGAACAGATATGTTTTTGGGAAATTTGAGTTTCTCAAAAGCCATATTAACAATTAATATGCTAGAAAATACCTGGTCTGATCATGACCTGGTCATAACTGAAGTGGCGGATAGACAAATTAAGATTCCTTCGATTTGGAGACTCCCTAACTATTTAGTGAAAAATAAAGCTAACATTGAGCAGATAAAAAGGTTAATGAAAGTATTTGTCTCCGAGAACTCATCTGATGAAATATCCAAGGAATGTCTTTGGTGTTCATTTAAAGTGGTAATTCAAGGTTATTGGATTCAATTGGCAAGTCAACAGAAACTACAGAGGGATAGTGAATGAGCAGATCCTTGCATTACATTTTATAATTTGTCTACTGCAAATAAACATAATATTAGACTTGTGATATTAAGGAATGCCAGGAGAAGATTAATAATATAACTAGGATTAAAATAGAAAATAAACTAAAGAAACTTAACACTAGACATTATTATAAGGGAAATAGAGCAGATTCAATTTTAACGAACAAATTAAGGTAACGAGAAATAGATCACAAGATCTTCAAATTAAGAGAGGGTGATAATAATATTTATAAACCGGAGGATATAGCAAAGAGATTTAGATCTTTCTATGAGAAACTATACAATCTGAATTACACACCAAAGGGAGGTCTGATAGAGGAATATTTAAAAAATTCCAACTTGAAAAAAATCTCAGCCTGGCAAAGAGTTTACTTAAATAGAATTATCACGGCTAAAGAAGTAGATCTTGTGATAAGTAGATTGGAAAGTAGTAAAGCCCCAGGCCCGGATGGATATTCAAATTTATTTTATAAAGTTTTCAAAAAAAGTTAATACCATTACTTGTGGATACTTTTAATGAATTAGCAAATAAGGGTCATGCCTCTTTGGACTTGTTACGGGCCCATATTACCCCTATCCTGAAGCAAGATAAGTTACCTACTGAGATAAATAATTATCGCCCTATTTCGCTGATTAATGTGGATATCAAATTATATGCGGCAGTTCTGGCCAAAAAGTTAAAAATAATTCTACCGACATTGATCCATCCAGATCAGATAGGATTTATGATGGGCAGACAATCTTCTAATAACTCCTGCAGAGTCTTGGATGTTTTGGATTGGGCTAGGACTGGGGGGGTTCCCCTCCTGACCCTGGCGGTTGACGCGGAGAAGGCCTTCGACAGGGTCGGATGGGAGTTTCTTCGGTCCACCCTGGAACAAGTTGGATTGAATGGTTGGTTTCTTGATGCTGTGGGCACAATGTACTCCAATCCTACGGCCAGAATAGTGGGTCGAGATTTATGCTCTGAATGGTTTACTATCTCCAATGGAACCCGACAGGGTTGTCCTCTCTCACCATTATTATATGTGTTATCAGTTGAACCATTAGCTAATAATATCAGGAGCAACAAGTCGATTAAGGGAATGGGGATACAAGAGAATGATGGGAAAATCTGTCTATATGCGGACGATATATTAATTCCTATCACTGATCCGTATACCTCTTTACCCTTTTTAATGCAGGAATTCGAAAACTACAGTTCAGTTTCTAATTATAAATTGAATATAAGTAAAACAACTGCTATGGTATTAAATATCCAAAGTAATATATTATCTTCTTTGAAAAAAGAATATAATTTTATCTGGACTAATAAGGAACTCTCTTATTTGTGCCTGGTAATTACAACGGACCCATCACGCACTATGGAGACCAATTTTTCAGCTTATGCGGATCCCAGGAACTAGGAGCAGATAATTAAGCAGACCTCCCAGGAGCTGAATAGGGAGGCTCTGCAGCAGGGATGTATCCAATACTGAAGCAAGACAGGACTAGGAAAGCAAGGCACCATACAAGACCAAACTAGGAGAACAAGGAAAGACTAGAGATAGCACCATGCATGAGAACAAGACAAAACTAGGAGAACAGGGCAAAACTAGAAATAGGCACCATACATGAAAACAAGACAAAACTAGGACAACCCAGAACCGGAGCAGGACAGAAAGCATAACCTAGAACATGTACACAAGACATGAGGAAAACAAGAACATAACATGGGCATGACTAAACAGGACTGTACATGGACTGGGATTACAAGACAAAGTAAAACAAGACAAGAGATACAAGGTAAAACAAAAGGAAACATAGCTAAGCACTAATTATGAAAAGTATGGGGATTTAGTTACATTATATGATCATACATTGCACAAGCCTGCCAACAACGCCAATGTACCCCATATCTGGCAGGTCCTACACTGCCTAATGTATACCAAAACAACCACACTATACCACAATAGCACTTACCTGCAAGAAAGGGCAGAGAGATGAAATACTGCTGCAGGTCCAAGCTGAAACAAAAGCAAAGTGGAAAACAAACGGGTGTGGCAACATAAAACAAACATTTAAGTGAATCCAAGAGACTGGGAAATCCAGGGACAGACTATAAGAATGAACCCAGAAACCCAGCAACAAAGAAAACCAGACATAGACCAGAAAACCAGAAAAACCAAGCAAGGACAGCAAAAAGATACCAGATACCAGAAGCCAGTGCCAGAATGATCCGCAGCGAGGAACAGGACGTGACAAATATATTAGTTCATGCTAGAAGACTACAAATTAAGGAAGCCTAAAGTCAAATATGGTATAAAATTGAGGCTCACAGAAGTGGAGTTAAAAATGTTGAATCTCTTCTATGGGGTGATGAAAATAACAATAACTCAGCTAATCTATCAACTAATACTCCTCTAATTCTCCGCCAAATTTTTAAAGAATGGAAAATTATTAAGAAAAAACTAAATTTTAATAATAACATTTTAGGGAAAATTCATATTGCAACTCTAGAACAAATCTTGCCAGACATTAATTTAAACAATTGGTATAGAGATTTCCTTTATTTAATATCGGATATGTACAATAGTCAACAAATGATAAGTTTTGAAGTATTAAAATTAACATTTGATTTATCACCTAGAGAAGTCTTTACCTTTCTCCGTATGAAGAGTTTTCTTAAAGACAACTTGTTATTTCTTGATGGTAGAGTAGGGAGTCTGATCACTAAAATCTTCACAGGGTGTGAAGTTAAAAATGTGATATCGATTGCTGCAGAATTATCAAGTTCACC